ATGATTAAGTAGATTCCCAACAGTATGTACTTTCACTGTTTATACTATTGATGCATATATGCTGTGAAGTCTTTATGAGAGGACTAGAACCTGGACATGATTTCTAATTAAAACAGATCCTCCAAAGAATGAAAGATAATTAATGTGTGTGATGAATAGAAGTACGATTTTGTATTCCAATTGATAAAAAAAGGAAAAAAAGCAATAAAAGCATAACAAATGTAATCTATTAGCTTATCGTGCTTCCATTAGTGTTATGGTCATTTGGTTTATTGAGCTTGGTGCATTTGTGCTACTTGAACTTTCAGCCATAAACAAATCCCTTTCTGTGAAAAAACCAGGTTGCTTAGCTTGAGGCAACTCAACTTCATTGCCAAGCATAAACACTACTGAAGACATGCTTGGCCTGTCATCTGGACATTGTTGAACACACAACAGTCCCACATGGATCGATCTCTGCACTTCTGATAAATAATGTGAAATGCCAAGGTAATCATCGACGAATTCCAGTGACCTTCCTTCTTTATGCAGCATCCATGCCTGTAATAATTGAACTCAATTAAAGGACCATCTTTTTGAATCCAAGAGCCATAGGGACTAATTTCATTACAATGTGAGTATACACTATACTTACATGTCCAAGAAGGTTGTGGTGGTGATCTCTATGGGAAAATCCTCTATTGCTTTTGCCACTTACAATCTCAAGCACCAAAGCGCCAAAGCTAAATACATCCGATTTCACAGAAAACATGCCATCTATAGCATATTCTGGGGACATGTAGGCGCTACATGATAAAATTTATCGGGCGATTAAGTTATAAGCAATAGAATAGCATTTCATAAATTTTGGGACTGAGATTCTTACTATGTTCCAACTACTCGGCTCGTATTAGCACCAGTCTCGTTTCCTTCAAAACTTCTAGCCATTCCGAAGTCTGATATCTTTGGGTTCATATCAGAATCTAGCAAAATATTACTAGCTTTGAGGTCTCTATGGATGATTCTGAGACGGGAATCTTGATGGAGATACACAAGTCCCCGAGCAATACCATTTATAATGTGAAAGCGCTTAGGCCAATCAAGTACTGCACTTCGCATTGGATCTGCCAAAAAACTTTCTCTTCTCATGAGGATGATTTGTTGGGTAATTGAAAATGAGAAATCAAATCCAACATCTATAATGACATAACTTCAAGCACACAGGAGCATGAAACTTCACATGTTGCAAAAGAATAAAGTTCTGTACCCTATATTACAATTGATCAAAAACATTTATCTTCAGGACTTGAAAAATGTGTATGAAACAACTTTCTGTCATTAAGTGTAACTGGTACTCCTGATAGAATTTGCTATTGAGATAATAGTGCGATGTGAATATTTCTTACCGAATAGAAACAAGTCAAGACTTTTATTGGGCAAGTATTCATAAATCAACATCTTTTCTTCTCTTTGAATGCAGCATCCTAGAAGTTTCACGAGATTTTGATGTTGTAGTTTAGCTATACAGATAACTTCATTCTTGAACTCATCGAGTCCTTGGAGGGAGTTTCTAGATAGCCGTTTGACAGCAATTTCCTGCCCCTCCTCCAGTAGGCCCTATATCAGAAATTATACGTGTAAAATTTATTTGTTTTGCAAAACGGCAATTTGCATATCATCTTCCACTCACTTTTCACATGACCTAGTGTGACGTTGATATATTTTTGTGTATTAAAAGACTTAATTTCACATTAAAAAGAAGAGTAAAATTCCAAATGATTATGCGAACAACATATTTGATACTGTCGTTCATTGATCATCCAAAAATTTTGGACACCAGATAAATATCTGAGAGAATCTATCCAAGCGTGGTCCTGCCCTGTTAAATTAAAACTGAAAAATGAAAAAAGTTGTATTTTACCTTGGAAATAGGTCCAAATCCACCCTCTCCAAGCTTGTTATTAATTGAAAAATTATCTGTAGCTTTAATTATTGTATATAAATCGAACAGCGGCAGTTCTATGTCTTTGTTTTGACTTTCATCATTGTTACGGCCCATAAAGTTGTCTTCCAGCCTCCCTGAAACAAAAGTGATGAATTGGATGTAACAATGATAGAGAAAAGCAAAAGAAGGATTTCAATTAGCTGAGTGTTGTTTCTCCAATTGTCTGTAGTAGAA